GATCTCAGGATAAATCCTGAGGGCATTTCACTGACCTTCTCAGATCCAAAAGCTACAACTCAGGCTGCTTCAGCAAAGCAGTCAGGCTCAGGTTGTTGTGGTTCAATCCCCACAACTCAAACCAGCCAAACCTGCCCTGAAGGCATTCAGAGAAAAAAAAAAAAATCCTTATTCCAAAAGCTACAACTCTTATTGCATAGGTTTTGCTTTATCTTGGTGTTAACCGTCCAGCAGAAAAGTATAAAAAGGAAGTATAAGAAGTAAAGCGGTGGTGCTGTTATGTTGAACTGTAGGGGACTCAGGTCAACGACTTCTGACATTGCCAGTCAAGCTGAAGACCCAATAGTATTATGGACTACTGGACTATTTTGGAATATTTTGCTGAGTTTACACACCTATAATATTCAAATGACAGAACTAAACAAAGAAAGGGAATATAGATGAATGACCATTTTGTATCTGTGTATTCAAAATGGCTGGGATAGATATATAGCTACATTCTCTTAATTCAAGGAATAGAGTGATTTGTTCTAATAGTGTTTATAAATAGGATATCATGTCTGCATCTTGTGCAACAAATAACCACTAGGAAGACATTATGCAATGTGTTAATTATTGGAACTGTCCTACCAATTTGATTTGAAACGGTCTCATTGCTATTTGTCTCTCAATAAAATTATGGGAAAAAAATGAATAAATTTCTTTACATATCTTGAAAATAAAAATAAAATAGTCTTTGAAATAAAAAAAATAAAATGTACCAATTTTGGAAAAAAATTATATTATTTATTTATTTGGTACAGTGTCTCCCTGTGAAGCTTAGAGTCCGTAGTGATCCTCCTGTCTCAGACTCCAGGATTACAGGTCTGCACCACCTTGCCTGTTTTTTTTTTTTTTTGGTGGAACACAGTATTGAACTCAGGCCCTTGGGCTTGCTGGACAAGCACTTATTCTACTGAGCTATCCCCCAGACTCTGTCATTTACTTTTGCAACCGAGGTGACATGCAGGTTGTGGGTGGTGCTTTTCTTCCTCCAACACCATGTAAGCAATAATGATAGACGAAGCAACAGGGCTGGACTTGTGTACGCCTTTTGCACTCGCTACTTTCCCTGCCACTGCCCTGTGTCCTATGAGGTCACACACGGCACTGAAACCAGGGGTATAAAGCTGGAGCCACCCACAGTCTTGTGCAACTCACCGGAGCCTGTTCTGTGGCTCTTCACCTTGGCTCATATGCATGGGAAGCAACTCCCACACCCCAGCACGCTGGAGGCTGTGGACTGGCCCGCTGACCGCAAGATGATTCACTTGAAGAGTGAGAGATGTGCCCGATGCAAGAGCTTTCTCAGCCAGCTGGATCTCTAACAGCGTGGGAGGAACAAGGAGCACTAAATCCAGGAAAGCTCCAGAGGGGAAAGGAGGACCAATGAATGTGGATGGGACCCAAGCACTGAACAGTCACTTGCAATAAGTGTGGTCACTGACCCTCTTCAACTTACACCCAAATTGTGGAGAAGTGCAATCCTGTCGTATATCTTATAGTCTAACCTCAGGCTGTTTAATGTACAAAACTGAAATAAAAATATGAAGTTTTAAAAAAATGAATATTGTTATTGAAAACTGAGCTGGGGAGATAGCTCAGTGGCATAAGCAGCTGCATGGCAAGCACAGGGTCCCAAGTTCAATTCCCAGTACTGCATGCCATGCTGTCCCCACCCCTGGGCACACCAAGCCAGTCAAAAAACTAGGTGTGGCTGCACATTCCTGTAATCCCAGCAATGGGGAAGCTAAGGCAGGAAGATTACTGTGAGTCTGAGCTACATAGTGAGGCCTAGTACCAAATAAAGTTATGGAGAACTAAAATAATATCCACGTAAAAGGTATTTAAGTTATTTCATGTGTGCTGGAAGAATACAATACTTAAAACTTCAATAATTCTGAAAGGGTCATCTTATATGTCTCTTCCACCTTACCCTACCAAGATTTGGAACAAAAAGATCCTTTTTATATCCCTAGATCATTATTCTAAAATGAGTCACTCATTTCCCAGGCTAGATTTTTCACCAATCAGGTTTAAGAAAATAAACTGGAATTCACAACTCAAGACTGGAAATATTTTTTT